TACTCTATTACCACCTGAGACACTTTTACGGCATAGATAAGACCCCCGTTTTGCCGTACGCTCCTGGGGACATTGAGTCCGTCGTTGAGAACGACAAATGTAAAATTTATTGGAACTATTTGTTCCCCCCACCAGGCAGTTAACAGCCACTAAGCCTGACATCGTTCTCATCGATGCCTCTGGATACACTATGTATGTCATCGAGTTTTTGGCCCCGGCTGAAACAAACATAGTTGTGAAGGAGGCTGAAAAACGGACCAAGTATCAAGACCTTGTGTTTGAGCTAAGACAGCTGTATCCAGGATTTACTGTTAAATTAGTCGTCCTTGTAATCGGAATTCTTGGAGGAGTCAAGTCGTCACTGCTGGCTAACATCAAGCTTATTCCGGCATGCCAGCATAATGCTGAAGCATTACTCAGCCGGATGCAAAAGGCCATGCTTCTTGGGTTGCTCCGACTACTGCGTGCGCACGACCCCAACTCACTGTAGCCGCCCATCTCGTTCGAGCCGTGGCTACAGTTTCACCTGGCCTGCAAGCATCCGAGTTATGACGGCAACACGCCTGAAGTTTTTGGCTGCTTGTGGACCAATTAAACAATTGATCATAATAATAATAATTCAGTAATGCAAAATGTACAAATACAAGTAGTAAAATCAATTCAAAAGTAACAAATAAAGACTGATTGGTTGCAAGTGCAAAAGGATATTTCAGATTACCTGAAATTGTCAGTCAGTCAGTCAACTCAGTTGGTTGACAAATTGCCATGTTACTCCCTTCACTTCTGCATGTCTGATCGCTGCAGAAGTATACTGTCATTCTGATTCTCCATGGATGTACTGTCTCTGTGCCATTCGCTCCTACATAGATCGTGTAATATAAGTGTGTAACATTTTGATTCACTTCCCTTTGCAGTATTCAGTCATATCAGAAACTGAGTATATCATAAATAATTTTGACAATTAAATGAAGTGTTAGTCTACAACTGTTGAATGATTTGATACTTTCCATTCAGTAGTAGTGGCCATTGAAAGTGGTAATGTGTTACCAGTGGGATCCAGCTAGCGAAAAATGGCAGTAGCAACTAAGCCACATTGCCAGATGTAATTTTACATGATTTTGAAAAACATTCAGACTTGTTTTGTGAAAGTAATTAAATAATGACACCACTTAGACATGCATATTTACATAATTTCAGAAAGTCACGCATGTCAAAAGTAATGAAATGGCACTCATGTTACAGCTGAAAAATATTCCTGTATTTAACATGAATTAATCATGCATAACCTTTCAAAACCACAGCTTTGTCTTTCTTCTTCTATTTCCGGTTTAACAATGTTTTATACGTTTTCCGGTACCCTTTTACGGGTCCCAACTTTCCGTTGGCTTGATCTATGGACATTCGGTAGGACTCCTTGGACGAGGGATCGGCCCGTCGCAAGGCCTCTACCTGTACACAGGACAGCACAACACAGAAAAACACAAACACACATCCATGGCTTGAGTGGGATTCAAACCCCATGGTCCCAGCAACCAAGCGGCACAAAGCCCATGCGTCAGACCGTGTGGCCACTGCGGATTCCAGCTTTGTCTTTATAAGCTTTATATATTATAGATACTTTTATTTTATATTACTTTAGACAATTTTTAAGAACATGGCAGGTGAGGAGAGTGGTTTGACAAATAATTTTTGGACTGTTATCTTCTTTGTCTAGGATAAGGAAAATGTTGGCGTGACACGTGACCACATTCAGCTTAAGACGCGGTTTGGTGTTTATCCACCTGCCCCTCTTCGTGATGCTGGTAATGTGACGGTGACTCTGACATTAACATCGGCGGCCGCAGGAGATATCCTAGGTGTTTTGCGTCACTTGGCAAACATTCTCAGTATTCCAGCACCCTCAGGATACCAGATAGTGGAGAGGACCAGTACACCACCAAGCCAGAAACTGGGGCTCTACCGCACGAAGGGGAAAGATGGCAAAGAGGGAGGTGAGATATGTACAGATGAATTTGCATGTAGCGGCATAGCAACATTTGGGCCCTGAGCTGGATAGCTGTCTTATGGTCCGTAATGGAGTTTCGTCTGTTTATTGTGCCTCCTTTCTAACAGCCATCGTGGCTTCGGGCCCATCCAGCCTTCGATTTGTTATTCTTCCATGGGGTAAATAAGAGACATGAAAATTATTACCCACTTGTGAGATACAAGGTTCCCATGTCAGTGAAGATGTCACTGTTGATCTTCTGTGATGTAATGCCATGTGAACATGCAGGTACATGTCAGTATTTTAGAGAACCATGTTGCTACCATTTAGGGCTAAAGTGAGGTTGTTTCCAAGTGAATAGTTTGTGTAGTGTCAAAAGAAGGACTTATGCTAGGGGAACTGGTCAGACACAGTCTGGGAATGAGGAGGAGATATCCAAGCAGTAGATACAGTATGCGGATATGAGTACAAATCTGAAAAATCCGAACTCTTCATATTTCTTTACAGAACAACCTGAAAAAGAACAGAAAGCAATGACATTTGCATTCTCCAGACATTTGGGAAGTAGCTACGTATTTGTTTTGATGTTTAAATGGGATGCTCTGCATTGGCCATTTTAGTTTGCAGTATACCATTTTCTCACAGGGATTGTATATCAGTATTATATTTTTACTCATATTGGAAAATGGAAGGTACTTCAAAATTCACAGTATAAGAATATTCTGCCACATGTTCATGAAAACTTGATATAAGTTTAAGTTATTTAAAAAGTGATTATGAGTGTAACATGTTGACTAGAATACACACCATGTTGTCTCATAAGTCATACTTGATGTTCCAACACAAGGGTACATGATTAAAAAGTAGGCCTGTCAGTTGGTAGCTGTAGTTAACAAGTGTTGTTTTGCATGTCTGTTCAAATGATCATGGTGTTTCTTAACCTTCATTGCTCATGTGTCATGGCTTACACACAGTAAAATTGGCCACACATTGCCAGAGTAAAAGTACAGTTTGCAGGCCCATAGTACATGGGTTTAAATCTCGTATTCCATATGCGCCTGTATTACAAGAAGACTAATTATCTAATTATCTGCAGCTCCAGTTGATATCCAGAGTATTCTGAACGGAGCTGCAAAGTTCTGCAGGCACTGTGACGTGGTGATACTGAGCAGCTTGATCCGCAAGAAAGCGTCAGAACTGCCGTTTCTAGCCAAAGATGATGTGGTAGAGAATGGAGATGATCTGTATTTCTGTAGCTCCGCATGCTACATGCAGTTCGCTCTCATGCATCGCTCTCCCAGTATATCAGAGGATAAAGTAAGTAGCATTCACGTGCTGAATGCAGAGAAATACAAAGGTAATGGTGGTTACAAAACACAGCTGCAGGGCATGCTTCATCATAAATACCTTATTTACATGCATGCAAGTTCTCATCACATTCAGGTCACACTTGATTTATGGTAGAGTCTTTGGTAAAAGCAAAGTTGTCTAAGATAATTGGTGTTATCTTTTATTAATATTTGTTCCTTAAAGAATAATAGGTCAAGAGATGTTTCATCATATATTGTAGATTATAAATTGCATTTATTAATCAATTTTAATGCTGTCCTGTTAACAAACAGTTTCTCATAAACAGTTGAATCAGCATGGAAGGAAGGAAACGTTTAAAACTCTTTTTCATTTTTGTGAAGATTTGGAAAGTGTGTACATTATGTTGCAGTTTACTAATTTATTTTTTACTAAGAAGACTTATCAGAAAACAGGTAGGTCAGTGAATAAATATTATGTTCAAGAGATAAGCAAAGGTTTGTGGATGGCCTGAGGTGTGTTGCTACTCATGTGTTAATGATATTGATGGTAAAGCTTGCATAATGTAACATATATTTAAGTAAGAATATACAGAATGCAGGGTACACTCGGCCAACTTCACAGCACATCCAAGACCCAAGGGTCACTATGTGGTTAAGACCAGTACATGTCTGATCATTGTGATAATCTGAAGATAAACTGCTCATTTACCTCTTGGATGCTGCATGGCTGGTTGCCATACAAATGTGTAACCTTTGACATTCATTCTCCTTTCCTGTGTTCAGTGACATCAGAGCGGAGTGGAATATATTCTTTTGGCAATCTAATGAAGCAGGAGTTGTTAACATCCAAATAATTGGATACTTTCCGTTCAGGAGTGGTCGATGATGGCAATGTGTTAACAGTGGGACATGGCTGATTTAAAATAGCAGCGGCAACTAAGCCGTGTTCAAATTCCTTTTACAAAGATAATGAAATGATGACTGTGCCGCATTGTCAGATATATATTTACACATATACAGAAATTGATCGGAAGTGCTAATTATAGCACAGTATTCACACAGCACTCTCATTACAATTTAAAAATATTCTTAAATATTACTTTAACACTGAGAAGAGCATACAGATCATTCTAGACCATACTTGTTACATTGGGCTTTTATTTTATTCTCTGTACTACATATAATGAATGATCTTCAATAGTTATCTGTTGTGCCATAGCAAAGATTATCACATGATGAAGCTCAACTAATCAGATTGTCAGTTGTTAAAATTGGCGGTGTTCAATTTCTTATAGTTTTCATATGTTAAGATAACTGTTCTGTGAAAATAAAATTGTTTTATGCTATAATTATTTTCTTTGTTAATTGAAATATGAAGACAAGGTATGCAAATGCTAACTGTTGTGGAAGAAAGCTACAAACAACCCAGTTTTTAATGTGCACTTCTATTTGAAATAGGAAGTGGAAGGGTATGGTAGAGTATGAAATTAGACCGACTGCTGTGATATGTCGAGTTGAGCATACAGCTGTGTAATGACATTGTTCATGAGTTAATGTAGTGTAATAGATGCACAGTTGTGAATAACAGTCATGTGTTTTTATAATTTTTAATATGATCATTTACGAGGTGTTCTTAACATTACCATGAGTGATAGTCGCAACTGAAGCAGTCTCTCAACATTTCAGCCTGGCTCCTGTTTCTCTTTCTGTGTCACCAACTGCCATCCACATACCATAGTGTTAATGACAAGTTGGTTATGACTGCTTTTTCAGGCTGCTGCCATTGTGGACCATCTTTGTCAGACAGCAGAGTCTCCAAGTCAACAGAAGAAGGTGTGCCCTCCAGAAAGTACAGAGAAAGTCAAGGAAGATGAGAGATCTGAGAAAAAGGTAAAGGAGGAGGATGAGCAGATGGACGTAGACCGGCAGCTGAACGAGTTTGAAGACGTGAAGACAGAGCAAGATGATGCAGAGAAGAGTGAGTCTGCGGAGCCTCAGTCCATTCCAGTAAGCATTTAAAACGCGGCTGTAAGTGGCTGTTCGTAGAAAGTAGATGGTAACACTTTTCTGATCAGTTTATTTTCAAACACTGGATTGGATAATGTGAACCCTTATATACTGTTTCCCTGTAAATGGTAAGTATGGTGTATTGCCATTAAAGTGGAACCTACCATAAGAGCATGCCATTGGATGACAATAAGCTCATACATAGTAAGTACAAGATCAGACTGTATTATAGCAGGTACTGGAAGTAACATCTGTCACATCTCAGGCATGCTTGGCACATGGTAAATATAGTTTAAAAATTTCCAAAGTTCATGTTTAGAAATTTTACATTCTGTGTGTCTGATATTTTCTTTAAATTTGTGCTCTGCATGTGGGTTGTTTTGATAAACTTTGTCTTTCAAACGTATATAACACCTAAGAGCCACAAAACACCCTGTTCTGTGTATATTGAATCACATTCTTCAGGTTGTTAAGTTGTCCTTGGACTGTGTTTGTTTGATCCTTTCCTCCACATTTATTGACAATTTTGCAGCACTTCTTTGATATATCTGTTTCGCATCTTTTCTATATGGAAATGTAACACTTTTTGTTATGTCCATCCTTAATTTAAGATTTTTATAGTGTTGTGCCTCATTTCTTTTCGTTAGACGCAGAGCAAGAAAACTGAATCTGTGAGTGTAAATACAGAAGTACCACTTGAAAAACTAGAAAAGAAGCCTGCATCAGGAACAGTACCTACAGCATCAGCCGTAGCAACTGTAACAGTGCCATCCTCCACTCTGCATCAAGGGACATCTAGTGACAAGAGGAGCCGTCGACATACCGGAGATGATCAGGCCATCGCCCCTTCTTCCCATTGTCCGCCTCCTACCAAACTGTGGAAAGGAGTGAAATATAAGTACTGGACTCCTGGAGCTATTCAGCCTGCTGTGAAATATAAGAAACCCACTGACAAAGAGGTCACAGAGGTAATGCAGATTGCTGTCTGTTAATAAGGTACTAAAAAGTAAATCATTATGAGACTGTCCAGTTGTATGGTACAGTAATACTTTTTTAGCTAACCACTATATGCCATTACATTAGTATTTGTTTTACATTCGTATTTTTGATTGCTGAAAATGTATGAGATCCGGCTTCAGCTTTATATCGTCTCAAGACAATCCTTATCTATCGTGGTTAGATCCTTCCAGTCCCCTACTTTCTGTAATGGCATCTGAATCCATGGATGATGGCACCAAATTTTCTATCCAGTTATGTAAGATATTCTTCATATATGTTGGTGGTTATTCAAGAATTCTTATTAACTTCGTATTTTGCAGTCTTGACTTTCTTTAAAGTCTGTGTTGACTTCCATATTCAAGTTTCAAGAGATAGAAGTTTATCTCTAGCATCAGCATTGCATGCAGGGAGCACAGTTATCCACTGTCTGGATTTTGTACCATCGTGGTGAGGGTTTTCTTGATAGCAGATTGAAAACTATGCCTGTCTTTTAATAGTCGGCCATTTTTCTGGTGTCCTTTTTTCTGACCCTGCTTGACAGACTTCCATAAACAGTATTGTATGTCCTTTATTTTTGTCAGTTCAATCATTAAAAGCTGAAAATTTTGCTATTCACAGAGGAGCAACATTGTACAAGACCTTCTTCTTTAGATGTACAGGCAACCCTCGATTTATCCCTGGGATGCGTTCCTGGACAAACTGTCATAAATTGAAACTCTTTTTATAATGTAAGTCAATGGGAAGTCGATGACATGCATTCCCGGCACCCAAACATTGACGACACACTGTATAGATTAATCAACGTCTAACATAACATATTAATTTGAGTACATTTTCAAGAATCTTTCAGACTAGAAGCTGCATGTTTGTTCCCAGATTCTTTTATCTAATCTAAGGGGGAAATACTGTGCTGTCACTTTTCTATGTTTGTCATTTTTGACGAAGTTACACAGAATGGAAGTTTGTTGTCCCATTTTTGGCTTTAGGGGTGTGTGAGGGCATTTTCCCTTACTCCCTTATCATGAGTAATTGACTATACTGGTAGCTTAAAGGAACACTAATATACTGTGGGTAACTTTTGAACAATTTTGTTGACATTCCATCATAACTGCATGAGTTTCTTGACTTAAATTGTAAAACGTTATAAATAATAGTAAAATATATTTTTTCACTTTTTGACTTGCTGGTTTCAAAAGCAGCGTTATTCTGAACTGGCGCAAATCGAGGTTTACCTGTACATATGTTATCTGTGGAAGCATTAGCCACGTACAGCTGTTTGTACCATGCAGCAGTAGCTGCTTCCAGTTTTTCCATACACATTTTTTTTTTCCTTGGAGAAAGTTCCACATTGGGCATAACTTCTTTCAGTTACTTCACAGCTTTTCACAATCTTGTCCATTGTGGGTACTGAGAGTCCCAAATGTGACGTCAGTTTGACTGTGTTCCAGTATGCAGGTCAACTTTGCTATAATGCCTGTTTTTTGTGTATCAAAAGTACTTTTCATTTTCCTTCTGTTAGCAGCATTTCAGGCAAAGAAAGGATTTGAAATAAGTTCATCATCTTCACACACTAGATCTAGCATTTCATGGATATGTTGACCAAAGATCGATGCTAGTAATACAAATTACTGCAGTTACCCATACAGAATGACAAGCACGGGGCATAATCTGTTGCACAGTGTATGTCTGTGCCTGCAGTTGGCTGAACTCTCATATGACCTTGAATACACTCTGCAACAGTCACTGGAATGATACTGTTTTCACAGCAGCACAATTCTGTACTTGCTCACTCCACAGACCGTAACACTCTATCACTGAAGTGAATCAAGTTGCCCACAGCAATTAGCCTTTTATAGGACCTAGGAATGTTCCAAGAATATCATAGATCGATATATTCATCGCCCTGATGACGGAGGCAGTATGACCTCTGAAACGTTGGTTAACATCGACCAGACTACACAGCGCAACAACCCAGAAGACGGAAATCTTCATACTCACCGCTGTGAAAACCTCAATTCTTACATCGATATTGTTGTTTTACATGCTTTCCAGTTTGTCCACAGAGCTTGTAGGTGCTACTTGAAATGGGCTGGACAGCTGTGAATCAAGCCATGTGACCAGTAGTCACACACAGTGAAGTATAAAGTGCTGGTGACTTTATATTAGGATCTAGTTCTAAGACCATGCCTGGAATAACTCGATTTCTATCATAATGATTAGCTGATGAAATTTTGCCATTGTTCAAAGTGGTGAACATTGTCATTGAGGTCAGTCCATTCTGTCTACCTATTTTACTCTTTGATGAGTCGCTGACTTCACACAGAAAAATTACTTCATACTGAAGCCTGCACATGTCTGTTTCATTGTCATAATGTTGACTAAACACTTTTTCACTCTAACGAAACCTTTAAAAAATAAATTATCATTCATTAGCCATGTAGCAATGTAATTTTATGACATAGAATGTTATAAAATCAGGTAAAATTACATTTTCAAGATGCAGAAAGTGATGCACAAATTTGGGAAAGACAGAAGTTTAAAATCTGTTAATGCTTACGTTGTACTTGTATTCATTTAATTGGGATTAGACAAAGAATGTGTAAAAACATGTAAGATGTAAAATATAAAAATGCATCATTGGAATTTCACTGTATTTATGTTAGCTTTCTGTTCAACAATTAATTGTCTGTTTTTATGTTAAAAGAACAGATTACTGCTTCCACAAACCACTTCTTGCTACTCCCAAGAAAATGACTGAATGACTTAACAACACGTGTGGTCCCATGTTTCACCGTTCTTTTACTAACCTCTTTGGCAATCTCTGTTTATTTGTCAGACATCATAAACATGTTCATTTTCACAAGTCTTACTAAGTTCTACAGTTGTATGTTGCTTGTGTTTCCTTAGATGCTGTTTCGAATGGGTATCACGATGACTCCAGCCAAGATTCCTGAAGATACCCGCAAATGCATGTTCTGTCACCAAATTGGAGATGGAGTAGGTGATGGAACAGCCAGGTAAATAAACTTCAGACAACTTAAGTACGTTGTGGGCATACGGAGTGTTTCTAAATATGTGCCATAAATGATAGGTAAGCTTTATGACAGCAGTATGAATCAAGAAGGTCTTAAGAACATAGGTCAAAAATATTTTTGGGAAAAGTTACAGAGGATGAAAGTTTGCGGGAAAAATGTTCCAACTTCTCTAAGTTCAAAAGCAAGTGCTTGACTTCGCCCACTAGCTCCCGTTGGCTAGCACCCAGCCACACGTGCTGGAGACTTGAGGTATTCAGTCACGTTACATCCTTGGTAATGAACAGATGGTTCCCAAAATGTTGGTTTCTTTTGACAACTTGACACTTTTGGTGGTCTTCAGATTTTTTGGAATATTTACATCAAATGCTTCAAATGTCCCCCATGGGCATGAACATGTATGTCAGCACAGTGTTTAAGCAAGGCTCAAACATTTTCAAACACCCCAGTGGTGATATGATTCTTGTTGGCTGCATGTGTATGCATTGCCAAAGTTGTTTGGTGTCAACAGTGTTGGCATAAACTGCATTTTTCATGGAACCCCACAAGTGAAAATGTGTTGGATTAATTTCTGGTGACTGTGGTGGCTATGACCACAACCAACAGTTTGGAATAATGCCTGCCAAACGACTCTCATTCAGCCAGATTGAAATGTGCTTTAGCATTATCATGCAAAAGCTACATCCATCATCATGCGTACAGCAGAACATCCTCCAGCAATTGAGATAAATGTCTATGGAGAAATCACAGGTATGTGGGTCAAGGAAGTTTTGCTGGTGAGATGAAGGAGCCACTGAGATGATAATTCATGATGCAGGGCGACACTTTTACAGAAAATTAACCCTCAGACGTGGTTTTACGTGTACACACGCGGGCATTTAAATTAAAGTTCTTGTGGATTTACGTATAAACACGCGAGCCTCAAAGCCTAATTTAAAACGCCCATAAGTATGGAATAAATAACGCCAGCGCGATGAGGTTTGTTCTCGCCTGTTGTGGAAATAAAGCTCTATGTGTATACATGTGGCAACAG